CAGAAGAAAAGTGCACTGTGAGCCTCATTTTGCAAGCTAATTAGCATATCTGCTATTGGGTGTAGCACATGAAATCTGCTATTTGTTTATTCTAAATGGTCTAGTTTTAATTCTTAAATACCACTGCTAACACATCATGGCAACATCATGTCTGTGTAGCAATCAGTTTGTGGTAATTCAGTTTTAAACATGGGAATGTGTTCACTAGCATTAAAGCACAATATCAACTGACAAGATAAGAGCCGTCATCTTGGTCCTTCTTTATTGCCTGATTTTAGGGCCCTGTCTTGAAGAGGGATTAGTGTGTAGGATTTAGTGCCATCTAGTGGTTAAGTTGCAGATTGCAACTAACTGAACACCACTCGCATCTGTATCTGAGGACCAGGGAATTAGAGCAAGCTGCACAGTGAGTAGGAGAAACTACGGTGGCCACAAAACTCTGGAAAAAATCAGTGTTCTTTTCTGTTCTGGGCTACTGTAAAAACATGGTGGACTCCATAGAAGGCAACCTGCGGCATCTGTAGATAAAACCAGCTCATTCTAAGGTACAATAAACACAACATATCCTATATTCAGTTGATTATACACAAATGAAAACAATAGTATTTTCAGTTTCTGCCAATAGATCGATAACTAACTGTTACACACTTGACCTTTATGACATTCATTATTTCCATTTTATGCTTATATGACGCATATTCCATAAACTAATTTATGTTTAATCTAATCACCACACTACAAACCTTGGGCCAGGTATTTCGAAATATGAACATGATACAGAGGAGGTATATGAGGACCCGGCAGCTATTTATTGCCCATAGGGCCCCCTAAAAGGAGGGCTTTTACTTTAGAAAGAGATTATGATTTAAGGTGGACTTTAAAGAGCCAACTGTTTCCAGCTCTGATTTGGCCCAGCATTGGAACAGTTCACAGTAAGGGAGTACCTGTTGTACCTCACGTATTGCTTATAATAAACTGTCGCCAGATCTTAACCAGGAAGCACTTTTAATTCTGATAGTACTTTTTCAATGGTTTTGCTACACCCAACACCTGCCTTCTCAGAATTACCACAACCTACGTGTGAAACACAGCAGGAACCAGGTGTGCGCATAATTTCCTTGCACATGTATTTGAGCCAGGGTCGCAGCTCAATCTGCTGTGTGTCTGCTGAGCTGTGTTGAAGCCAGAGGAGACATATTCAGGATGCTGTGGTCAGTCTATTCTCTTCCTGTATTGACTTGTTGTCTGTGTGCGAGCAGTGTGAGCCACCAGTGGTATATGAAGCATTAAAGTTGATCATATGTTTTCTATGTGAAAACTTAATCTGCAGAGTAACTAGTAGCTATAGCTGTGGGATAATATGTATTAAAAAATAAAATATTTCGCTCTGAAACGTACTAGAATGGAAAAATGGAGAAAAAAAAAAAGGAAATTCCCCACTTATGTATAAGTAGACAAATTGAAGGAAAACTCAACAAGTGTCTTAGTGAGATGCTTTTACACCACAGGCCTCCAGAACAGTGCTGCTTGGTATAGATTCTACAAATCAATGAAACTCTCCTAGAGGACTGATTATCACTATGTCAAAAGATATTCCCTCATTCGATGTTTTGATGATGCATGTCGCTCCAATATGTCCCATAGGTGTTCAACTGGATTCAATAGCATAGCATATGATTTACATAATTTAATTATTAAAAAATTAAAGTGAATCCCTGTTCCCCTTATGGAAGCATCTGCATTTGTTAGGTCTACATTTGTAGTCCAGCTAAAATTAATCAAAAATAAAGGTCGCTGTTTTGTTTTGTTTTAATTCATCGTCAATAGTTTTTTTATTATTAAAAGGAAGTAAAAAAAGGTAATCGTGGAAATATCAACCCCTCACACTTTCCACCACCGCCATGTGTGCTGCTCTGAGCAGGACTAATGCACGTAAGGCTGCTGGTCCTGATGGCATCCCTGGACGTGTGCTCAGGGTCTGTGCTGGACAGCTGACTGAGGTCCCGACAGACATTTTCAACCTGTCACTGGCCCAAGCAGTTGTCCCTACGTGCTTCAAAACCACATCCATCGTGCCGGCTCCCAAACGCTCAGCTGCAGCGAGCCTCAAAGAATTGAAGAACAATCAACAGGCCGTTTGCTTCCTGAACATGGCACCTGCTATAACTTAAAAAACAAAAAATGGAAAATTTCTTCCTTGATTTCTGAGATTTTCTCATTGGAGAACATGACATGTTGTTGTGATGGTACAGAGCAGATGTATATGCTGTAGCAGAGGGAAAAAAACATGCTATTTAATTTCCGTTGGACTTTAAATGACTTTTGCCAACTGAACTGATTTGTAATTGATATTTATTTCTTGGTCATGTACACACAATCTCACTCAAACACACAGTCACATAGACATCAGACAAACAGACAAAAGACCGTCCAGAAAGACCTGATGCGCTGCTGATCACGATAACAGATTCCTACACACATACGCTGACTTCCTTGTGCCTCATGATATACAGTTCGGGTTGGGACAAACAGCTTGGCTATTCTGACACAATAGATAGTATCTTAGATATTCTGTGTTTTTACATAAGAAGGTAACTGAAACAAACCATCAGCTCAGCAGGGATTAGTGAGCTGCCTGCTAAAGCTCCACATGGCTAGGTATCAGATTGCGCCTGTTTACTGTCTGCTGACAGCAGACAAAACCAAATACGGAAAAGCAGACGTTATGAAAGGCATCAAAGGAAAAATAGATGTTTGATTTTGGTTCACAGGCAAACTTAAAAAAAATTGTTTTGATGGAAATCTGCCTTGGACTGTGAACCAGTCTGATTAATGTATCGACAAGCCAGTATTATCAGCTGATATCGGCTCATTACAGATGAATCAGCATCAACATATTGGTAGGCAGTAGTGGTGGAATATAGCTAAGTAGATTTACTCAGTTACTGTAGTTAAGTACAATTCTGAGGTACATGCTTTTACTCTCCACTTAAAAAGTAAATATTGTACTTTTAATCCACCACATTTATTTGACAGCTGTCAACAGGCTGTGAAAAGATAATTTCCTAATACAACTCCAACGAAGAGATTAGCCCTCTTTGTGTTTTGCCTTTTGAGCTGAAGTGGAGGAATAGTATTGTAACACAAGAAGGGATTTCTGGATTTTGGAAGTAACCACTCCATTTGGCTACAAGATGTAGATAAATTTAGGGATGTCCAACTAACTTTATCATATAAAAGTCAGATATGCAAATTACATGTTTTACATATGTGTTTTATAGGCTGGAATGTGTATTTTTCAAAATGTTTTTGTTGTATTACCAATAGTAAATTATTTATTTACAGTTATTATTTATAATTTGAATCCAGTGTAGTCCACTGTTCA